ACCCCAATGTTCATAGCAGCAATGTCCACAATAGCCAAACTGTGGAAAGAGCTGAGATGCCTTTCAACAGACGAACGGATAAAGAAGATGTGCTCCATAAATACAATGGAATATTACTCAGCCATCAGAAAGGGTGAATACCCACCATTTGCATCAACATGGATGGGACTGGAGGAGAATATGCTGAGTGAAATAAGTCAAGCAGAGAAAGTCAATTATCACATGGTTTCACTTATTTGTGGAACATAAGGAATAGCATGGAGGACATTAGGAGAAGGAATGGAAAAATGAAGCGGGGGAGATCAGAGGGGGAGTTGAACCATGAGAGACCGTGGACTCTGCGAAACAAGCTGAGGGTTTTAGAGGGGAGGGGGGTGGGGGGATGGGTTAGCCTGGTGATGGGTATGAAGGAGGACACGTACTGCATGGAGCACTGGGTGTTATATGAAAACAATGAATCGTGGAACACTACATCAAGAACTAATGAAGTATGGTGGCTAACATAACATAACATAATAAAATAAAATAAAATGAAATGAAATAAAATAAAATAAAAATAAAGATGATAAAGAAATCTGGGAGGAGAGGTGGCTGCATTGGGTATCTGCAGAGTGTTCCAAAACCCATGATTCCTCCAAATGGTGCAGATGCACACAGACACCAAGCCATCAGTTGGCTCTTTATGTGACACATCAAGGAGTGAACAAAATGACAGCTGATTTAGGAATCAGGATTAGAAAGCAAGGGTTGACTCTGCAACTTGCACTCTTAACTGCTACTCTCTACGACCTCTCAACTCTGCTGAAACCAACTTCCCTGAAAATACAAATTACCTATGAGAGATTACCAAAGTTTCTATATGCCAGTGAAGATTTTTCTTTTGCTTGAAAATGAGCGCTTTATTAAACAGTTATTTTGACATGATGATATCATGAAATCTTAATATGTGACTATTTCTCCTTGAATTTTTCTCTTTCTCCTTCAAAACTGTTCTACCTCCTCACTTTATTTTATTTATTTACTTATTTATTTATTTTTTAGAGAGAAAAAGAGAGAGAGCAAGTTGGAGGGTGGAGAGGTAGAGGGAGAGAGAGCATATCCAGCAGATTCCCCGCTGAGCACAGAGCTCGACATGGGGCTTGACCTCACGACTCTGAGCTCACAACCTGAGCCAAAATCAAGAGTCGGACGCTTAACCAACTGAGCCACCCAGGTGCCCCCTACCTCCTCCCTTTAGAGAAGATAAAAGGTGTGAGATTTTTCAAAGATTAAGCCCTTGTGGGAGTTGCAGATAAAACACTAGATGCCCAGTTAAACTTGAATTTCAGATAAATGACAAAAGATTTTTTTAATATAAATATGTTCCATATTTGTCATGGGATCTACTTATGATAGAAAATGATTTGTTGTTTGTCTGAAATTCAAATTTAATCAAGCAGCCTTTATTTTTATATGATAAACCTGGCAACTCTGTCCTTGGGAAAACCTGGATAGTTTATGAAGGAAGTAAAAGGAAAGAAAATTCACACAACAGGCAGGGTGTCTTAGAAAAAACAGAAGGGAGGGTGTCTAGGCAGAAGAAACCATGAACAGCTTGGAAAAAGACTCCAATGTCCAAAGAAGGAGCAGAAGACTGCCAGCCCCAAAGCCTGTGAGGACAGATGGCCCTGGACCAGCTGTTGCCCATCTCCTGTTGATATCAGAGCGCTGCTACAACTCTAAGTTAAAACCAAGATACAGCTGAAAAGCCCGAATCAGAAGCCTGGGCCAAAATGAAGGCATTGTGGATAAAGAGGAAAGCTATTACACAGGAAAAAATACAGATACCCAGTGGTTTTTATTGAAGAAAATGAATACTACAACTTATAAGGCCCAGAATAGCTTAAGAATTCTTTTCTTCATATATGACTGAAGCTGAAGCAGAATTACACCTGCAGGTGAAGGCTTTTATCAGACCAAATTCCAAACAACAAATGTGAAATACTAATTGACTGCCATGTGCCCTGCCCTGTACTACAAACCAGGCATACTGAGATAAGAAACACACAAGCCCTGCCTTTCAGGCATTTATGGGCTGGTGAGCAAAAGCAACAGGTCAAGAAGCGATTTCAACACTAGAGTTTTCTATATATAATGCAAGTTGTCAGAGGAGACAGGATTAACTGTCTAGGAAATGACAGGGAAAACTTCACAAAGGAAATTGCTCCAGAGAGAGGTCTTTAAAGAACAAGCTGGTATTTGCCAAGAGGACCGTGTTGAGAAGGACAGTCCCTCTGAGGTATGTCTGATATTTCTGGAACATGCAATGGCCAGAAGAGAGAGGAAAAAACAAAAGGCTGAAGTCAGATCGTAATAACACACAAGTGCTTCCCAAACTTTATTGTATGCTCCAATAATCTAGGGATCTTGTTAAAACACAGGTTCTAGTTTAATAGGTAAGGTATGAAGTGCAGCTTCTAAGATTCTGCCTTTCTAACAAGC